GAGAAAAGGAGGAAGAAAAATAGTAAGTAATAACGGTGGTGATTGTCAGTGCCGCTGCTGTTTGGGGCTGGGAGCCTGATCCAAGCTCCTCAGGACACACAGAGTCTTTTAGGAGATGAGTTGCTGGCCTAGGTCATAATCCCGAGCTCTAAGTCTGTTGCTAAAATTCATTCCCGGGGGAGACATAAGCGACACCTGCCTCTTCTCCTAGGGTTCCAATGATGGACAGAGGCAGGGTTCACTTTGGAGAGCCAGTGAGTTTACTGGGCTTCCTCTCAGAGTACAGGTGAGGGGTTACTTACAGGGATGTGGACACTTCTTCCCAACAGGCTACATGCGGAGAGCCTTTACCTGGCAGGCATGAGGGTGGAGCTCCATTCCCTAATCTTCCCCAGAAAATATACTCTAGCCCCACCCTAAGGCAAAAAGGGCAGCTTTGCATACAGCAGGTGGTAGGGAGCCGCTGGGTGCTCAGGTGAGGGTCTCGCATCCCTTCTGCCCCTCCTTGAGAAGGTGTACACAGCCAACAAGCCCAGCTGGAAGAATTCTTGCAAGGGGCACAGCTGAATGGTAGCTGATTGGCTCAGAGGACAGCGACCTCCCTATTCTGTGGGTGCTCACAAACGTCCCACCCATTTGGCCCTTGCTGGCGTTACCTTGTGATCTCTCTCTTTGTTGTCTAAAGAGGTCTGTACCTTTCAGAGTGCCATTTGTGGGGAAACATGTCACACTCTCCAAGCCCGTTGCCCAGCTCTTTTGTAAATATTGTGTGGCTGCCTCAAAATGCTAGTGTTTTTTGTTTGACCCCTCAGCTGAGACCCAACAGGCAGGCTCACTGCCGTGACATGTGTTATGCAGATGGCCTGTGGTTGGTGGAGAATGGCTTCTGGAAAGAGGAAGAAGGCAGTAGACGCTGGGTCTGAGGTATGGTGAAGGGGTAGGAGGAGACAGGAAGTCCACGGGAGGTCCCAGTGTCGGGGGAATTGAGTGTCAGATCACAGGAATGCCAAGGTGTGACCATGGCTCACCCTGAGGTGGCAAGGCGCTACTGAAAGGACAGAGTAGGCTCAGTGGAGAATCTGTGAGCTTCTGCCCCTGGGGAGCAATGAGTGCTGCCCCCTTGCTGCCAATGGAGGAGCCCGGGGATCTAAGCTGGAAGGATTTAGGGTACTTGGGGGCCTAGAAGCCCTAACAAGCTGGGTGCAACCTCGTGTCCCCAATAAGACAACCTGTTACACAACATGTCATAGCGAAAGGAGAGAAAGGCGATTTCCTTATCTGGCTACATTGGAGTGAGAAATAAAAGTTTCAACACCCACCCCATCTTCAAGGTCCTGATTTGAGGTTTAGGTTTTGACAGAGGGCAAGAGGTATACCAGCTAAACAGTCCCGGTCAAGGATGAACCTCCCCATCATCACCGTTTGGGCCCTAGTCTGTCCTGCAAGGTCTGTGTATTGTCAGAACTGTGCAAATCTCTTTCCTGGAGACAAGTCCCTCTCTGGCTGGCAGCAGACTCCAGACATTTCCATCTTCCAGCATGAGATTTCTGGGGGAAATCCCAATTCCTTAAGATCCATTTTTTTTTTCAATAGTCAGATCACCAAAAGGAGGGGCCCAAGTATCTCCTTAGAAGACCTCCACTCCTATCAGGACCATGACAGGTGCAGGGGCCTGGCATTTCTGCAAGGGACCGAAGTTCATTCTCACTGCCTCCCAAGCTACCCCACATCCTGTCCTGGGCAACTCAAAATCAAAGGTAACTTTTGCCCACCTAAAGGCTTTCTTGGCAAGAGGTAGGAGCGGAGGTGGAGGTCAGCCAGTGGAAGAAGCTTCCTGGGAGCAGCGGACTTTGGGCTGGATGGCTAGGCCTTGTGGCTCATCTTTTGCATGTTTTTGGTACATATCTTCTCTGGAACCTTTTTCTTTTTTTTTTTTAACTGAAAAGAAATAGGGGAAATTGTGTCGAGGAGGATAAAGGGTTGGTTTACCACAAGACTAAAGGAAGTGGGGGAAAAAAGAAGGGATGTCCCTGACTCTGATCCCTCCCCTCCTTTCTCCCTCCTTCCGGTCTGGTCCAGTTTAATCTTCATCTTTGCCCCAGGATGGTCGCTAGTGCTCCGCATTCTAGATTGTCAATGGGAACTGGAGCTTCTGCATTTTCTCCCTGACCAGCTGCTGGTTGTGTGATCATGGGCACTCCAGACTCCCAGCCAGATTTTCTACTGACTTTGAGGTGCCTACACTACTCATTGCTACTTTTCTCCAGACTACCGGGGTATCCTGGGGGACAAGACAGAGTAGGGGGACACTGAGGCAGAGATGTCATCTAGCTGTGGGGTTAGAGAAGATCTAAAGCTCCTGACTGGGCCCTGCAGAGCTGGGAATGCTCTCCACTGACCCAAAGCCTTGGGTTTGACTTTCAGATGCTGATAAGGGCAGAGCCTTGATAAAGACAGCTTTATTCTGAGCTGGGCTGCAGCTCTGCAGTTTCAATGCCCTGCCTACCTGTGTGAGAGCTCAAGCTGACTGTTCTCCGGGGTTAAATGATTCCTTTTCAGGGAAGCTGAAGGGCTTTAGGAACAAGAGTCCTGCCCAAGCATGCCTTCACCATCATGATGTACCAAAAGCTTGCCAAGGCTCGGCACTGCAATTCTATTATATATTATATATAATATATGTATTTGGGGATTTTCTACATGCATATAATGTGTTTGGATGAAACCCCCATTCCTGCCCTGTCTTAGTCACTGTTCTGTTGCTGTCAAGAGACACCATGACTAAGGCAACTCTTGTAAGAGAAAGCATTTATTTAACTGGAGACTTGCTTATAGTTTCAGAGATTTAGTCCATTATCTTCGTGACAGGGAGCATGGTAGCAGACATGGCGTGCTGGAGCAGTAGCTGGGAGCTACATCCTGATCCACAGGCAGAGAAAGAGGAGAGGGAGAGGAAAAGAAAGACAGACAGACAGACAGACAGACAGACAGAGTTGTCCTAGGCCTGGACCTGGACACGGCATGGGCTTTTGAGACCTCAAAGCCCACCCTCAGTGACATACTTCCTCCAACAAGGGCACTCCTCCTGATCCTTCTAATCCTTTCAAACAGTTCCACTCTCTGGTGACAAAGCTCACTTGTTCCTCTGGTGAACACTCCTGGGTTCTGAGTGCACCTTAGTCAGGAGCCTCTGAGGCCTGCTCTGGAGCCTTGACTTGACCCTGGTGACAGGTACTAAAGAGGGATGAGTTATGTTGCTCTCCTTGGTCTCAGAAGATGATTTAGAGGAACACATTGTTTCCAATCCTCATGAGTTTTGTTTTCTTGTTTTAGTTTCTTCCTTTTTCATGTGTGTGTGTGGTGTGCTTGTGTGTGTATGCATGTTTATATGTGAGTACAGATGCTGATTCGTGAAGAGGCCCCAGGTGGATGTCGGGAATCTTCTTCCGTTGTTCTTCCACCGTATTCTTTTGAGGCAGGGTCTCACAATCAAATCCAGAGCTCACTGATGTGGTTATTCTTGCTAGCCTGCTTGCTCTGGGATCTCATCTCTGCCTCACAAGCCACCGCCACGCCCACCCAGGATTTAAGGGAGTGCTTGGGATCCAAACTCCAGTCTAATTGCTTCCACAAAACACTTTAAGGGCTGGTCCATCTCTCCAGCGCACCTCTTCACTAACTCTTGAGTGGTACATTTTACTTCAGCCCTTAGAATAAAAACAACCACCAAACCACCTTGTGTTTTATAATGCTAGAATGATAACCTAATGTCCCATGTCAAGCACTGGGCTCTTAATCCATGACTGCATTCACCTGTTGTAAGATCTGTTACACAAGACATCGATGAGCAGCGCGCATCCTGTCTATGCTCATAGTGATACTATAATCAGCTGCTGTATAGCCTGGGGCAGCCAGAGAAGGCAGTGGTGGGATGGGGCTCAGTCTCCACAGCCATGGCTGCACTTGCCCTAGCTGAATCCAGGTTGCACACAAATGTATGTTGAACACCCCTTGTGCAGGGAGGCCTGCATACAACACTCAGCAGCGTGCAAGCTCACCAAAGCGTCAGCTTCTAGGGGACTGAGAACTGATGGTGTGGAATTTCCAAGCCGTATCACCTCTGCGTTAGTTGTGTTTCTTGTTGTTGTTTGATTTTAGATTTATTTCATTTTCATGTGTACGAGTGTTTTGCTTACTTGTTTACATGTGTATGGTTGGTGCCCACGGAAGTAAGAAGAGGACAGTGGATCCCCTGGGATCCCCTGCAGCTGAAGTTAGGGACAGTATGAGCAGCCATGTGGGTGCTGGGAATTGAACCTGGGTCCTTGCAACAACAAGTGCTCTTAGCCACTCACTGAGCTGCCTCTGGCAAAACCCCTGAAGAAAGCAGTTCTAGGAAGGGAGGCTTCTGGCACTGTGGGGGGCAGGTGAGAGATGGCAACAGCTGTCACATCTGAAGCTAGGGGACAGAGATGAATGCTGGGTCTCAGCTTCCTTTTCCTTTTCATTCAGCTGGGAGCCTGGACCAGGGAATGCTGCCACTGAATCTTCAGAATGGTCTCCTCTCCTCAATTTACCTGATCTAGAAACTCCCTCACAGACAGTGGGTATTTGTCTCCAAGGAGACTCCAGGTCCTGTCGAAGAGATAACCGGAGGCTCAGAAAGGCACCCAGGACCCTCAACACGTGGAACTAACTCGGGGAACGCGGGCCACGTTACCATGTGAACCTCAGTGCCAGCACAGGCAGGGCCATCCACCTGGCTTCCCATGGGCGGCTCACTGGGTTTGGGTCTGTTTGCAAGTTAGGTCCTTTCCCAGCTGGGCCCGGATGGCCCCTCCCCTGTCCTCCAGCTGCAGCTTCCTCGGGGTGACCTTCTACCCCGCAATTTTCACACTTCCTTTGGCTCTGTGACTGCCCCCTTCCCACCTTACCTTGGGGTGTGTCCTCTGGCTAATGATAACGAGAAATGACTCACCTACGGGTGGACTGGTTAATATCCACCATTCCCAAGTCTGGCAGATGAAGTTAGAAGTTAATGGCTGCTGAGAAATGTGTTTCACGAGCGCAGACCTCAATCTAAAGAGGGACGGATGCAATTTCCCTGTGCCCTCGCTCTGGCTCCCTGTGGCGTGGACCTAGAGTGCACTGGAGGTACTGTTTCTTGACCTGTTCTTTACACACACACACATACACACACACACACACACACACCCTGCATCACCACCACCACACTATGCTCCTGTCTCTAGCACCTCTAGACCCAGGGCCAGTAGGCCTCCATGTTCACTGTCTGCTTCCCTGCTCTGGGCCTCGGCTTTCCCAAGGGACACTGCTCTCTTCTGCCAAAATTGAGCTCACCTTTGGGATCTACCTCAATCCCTGCTTCTACCCAGAACCTCCTTGCTCTGAGCCCCACAGCCTTGCTCTGGGTACCCTCTCTGAACTCTCACAAGCCTTGGACGTCTCTTTGTGTACATTTCCCGTGTATTGTTGGGTTCTTTGCTTGCCTGACGAAGAAGGAAGCAGAGGAAGAGGTAAGAGTCTCACCTAGATTGGGCCAGCTGGGCTCAGGACCATCCTTAAGCCTAAAGTGCCCTGTGGGGTCAGTGGAGGGAGAAATGGAATTTTCCAGGCAGGTGAGGGACAGCTGAAAGTCTCAGGAGTGGCACATGGGAAGGATAAGGCAGGACCTGTGGTCAGATAATGGCCCCTGTGATGAGGTCAGCAAGGAGATGTGTTTGTCCCTTGCTGCTCCCTCATCGACTAAGCTGGACGCCTTGTTTCCTCAGCAAAGGGACCTCTCTCTGTCTGAGAGCAGCTAAGATGGCCGACGCCTGGCCGATCGGTGACGCCAGGGCTGAATGTGTGCCAACCGAGTCTGTGGAGTTAACACGTGAAGTGAATCTTCTTCAGTAGCTGTTCCCCCATCACCTGCTATCCACTTTGTCCTGATGCGTCTGGCTTTGGGTTGTGTCTCTCAGGATACGGGGGCTTTGGAGCATAGACACTCAGGACAATGCCCCTTATCTGGCTGTGCCTGGGAACTGACTCTGAAACTTTAAAGGCAAAAGATGTATAAGATCTGAAGAAAACCAGCTACTGGGACCTGATGGATATTCTGCGGGTACCCTGGGGCCTCCGACCCAGCACACCGGAGGTAGACTGGAGAGGAAGGGCTGGCTCCGAGGAGAAACAACAGATTTCAGTGAGTTTGGGATGGCTTGCTGGAGGTTTCCAGGCCCCTTCTGTCCCTAACTCCAGCCCCTCTCATCACCTCATGTGAGGATCAACTCCCCACCAAGAGCATAGATAGGCCTGGTTTCCACAAGGGCAGCCTTCCTCCTCTGTCCCAGCTCTTCTCCGGGCTCTTGTTTCTGTCCCTGCGGACTACACAACACTTTCAAGTGTGAAAATACTTATCTTCTCTCTACATCCTCTCTTCTCTTTGCTCCCACACAGTGGCTGCTTTATCTCAGGCTGCTTTCTGCTTAGATTAGCAGCTAGAGGGGAGGTGGAGATGGGACCAGCCTTCCCCAGCAGTCTAGGAGGCCGGCACCAGCAGTCAGGGCCTGTGATTGCATTCTATGGCCCTTCCCAAGCTTAGGGAGGAGCCTGCTGTGGCACCTGCCCTGGGGGCCAATGAACCTGTAGGTAGGGCCTCAAAGAACCCTGGCGCTGGGTGCCTTGGTAGCAGTCTTTAAGACAGTAGCTCTGTGACTTCCGTCCCTCTTCCTGGGGTCCAGAGCTTCAGTGGTTCTGGTCTTTTCTGTGCTTTGGCCGTCACCTGACATCCCCTGCCCTGAGCCTGAGAGCATGAGGTACCCGAGATATAATACGCAAAACTCCCCGGGCTATCTGGGCACATGGTTTTCCCGCCATCTCCGACAATACGCACAGGGTGTGACCACCGGATCAGGCTACTCCTGTGTTCATCCATATCTGTATTTTTGCAAAGTGGCATTTCAAAAATGTGACAGAGTGGATGCTTCATCATTTGAGATACAGAAATGGTTGCGAACACTAAGTAAAGGAGAATTCACAAAAATGTACATTTCCATTTGGACGTGAGTTAGCAGATGAACAGAAATCAAGTTTCTAGGACATTAAAAACCTATGCTGTTTTTGTTTGCTTCCTGATGTATGTTTGTGGGCCTGGCATTGGGCACGCCACTCAAGCTCTCTGCTGGGTGCCCTGAAGCCGCAGTGTTTCCAGGGTAAAACATGAAGAGGAGGAGTCAGTTGATGCCGTGGAAGCAGACCGAATCTTTACATCAAAAAAGAGGTTGCTAGGATCATTTGTTGAAAGTATTTTTTTTTTGGGGGGGGGGAGCATGTTTTGAGATGGAATTTCTCTGTGTAGCCCAGTCTGTCCTGGAACTTATTCTGTAAACTAGGCTGGCTCCTGAACCCAGAAATCCACCTTCCTCTGCCTCCTGAGTGCTGGGATTATAGGTGTGCACCACCACCCCTGCCTGGCATGATTTTATTTTTTTTCTAGGAAACAGGTTTTTTTTGTGGGTTAGGGAAGATGACACTTGAGATTGTCCTCGGCCTCCATATGCATGTGCACACTTGTATATGTGCACACTCATGTAGATACACATGCTAAGGGTAAGGTGGGGGAGGATGGCTAGGCAACAGCAAGCACAAAAGTATGGAGGACACTCCTGGCGCTAAGGACAGAGACGATGGAGCGGGTAAGAGAAGCATGGCCAGGCTGGCGGGAGGTGAGGCTGGCGGGAGGTGAGGCTAGGGTTGACTGTGGGTATCTGGAGGACATGCTAAGGATTTTGGGTCATCCAGGACCTACTGGAGGGGGCTGCATGGTTTTATTTTTGAGACAGGGTCGTGTTTGCAGCTCAGACTGACCTGGGCACCGTCTTCCTGCTTCCAGTTCTCGAGTGCTGGGATTGCATGTGTGCACCACCGAGCCCATTCTCAGGGTTTTCCTGTAGGAGCATAAAGTGTGGACCATGAGGAAAGCAGAACCTTCAGGGACAATGAAGAGTCTTTGAGGTTTCCAAGGCCTCCTGGAGCTCACATCCATTAGACCTGAGGTGCTAGGCGAGCCCATGTCTGCTTTGATCCCAGTGAATGCATAGGGATAGGAGGGTGGCTACCTATCGTGGGTACTGGATATGATCTGCGGATGGCCTCTCCAGTGCTTCCCGTATGGGCCACTTGGCCCTCTCAGTCCTCACCTGTGGTGATAACTGAGGGAGAAACCTGGACCTTTAGCCCTAGGAATTGTGACTTTCCCAGATGCCTAAACCAGTCAGCAATAATAGCCCTCAGGCCCCAGCTATCCTGAGTGGGGAAACTCCAAGGTCAGCGCTTTTGCTGGGACCCACAGGAAGGCCCAGATGTGACTTTCTCAGGAATCTCAATATTTACAACTCTGAGTTGATTGACACAGATTAATCTTCCAAGACCTGCCAAGGCTCAAGAGACTCGCTCACCTGTTTCCTTTAAATAGTACAGTTTCTTTGCAGGCAGCGCTGTCTCCCTGTGATCTGGTGTGGGGCAACTCTAGCGTTGGAGGAAACTTAGGAAGGGAAGCCCCTAGGTTGTCTGCCCTGCCCCCACTGCCTTGAGAGAACCCCAGTCAACGCTTTTTTTTGTTTTCTGTCTACAAATACAAGCTGTTAAATGTAACGAGTCTTTATATGGTGGTATAACAAGATTTACGCCATTACATAACCTGTTTTCCCTTTAGCGACTTGTCATGATATGGTTTCCTGTCCGTTACCACCGGTCTATAACGTTTCTCCTAGTGGCTCAGTCCAGGTTTTCATGGGTGTGCCCTAACAGCCTTGCTGTGCAGCGTGTTGAGGAAAAGCACCCAGTTTTTTTCCAGATGTTCAGTAATTGCCTAGTGGTAAATATTTAGAATAGCTCCCACAGCTGGCAAGAGAGAGAGAGAGAGAGAGAGAGAGAGAGAGAGAGAGAGAGAGAGAGAGAGAGAGAGAGAGAGAAAAGGTTTAGCTCCTTCTCTGAGCCCTAATGCCCAGCTGGTAGGTCACCATGGCAACCTCCTGCTAGCTTCATTTGTGGCTCAGTACCAGCAGCACTGCGGTGGGGATGGGGGTCGGTGGCAGTGAGCAGGGCGGTCTCTGTCTTCGGAGATGTTATAATCACAGGGTAGAGGAGCAGGGGGCACCATCCTCAGAGCTGAGAGCTGAGGCCGCAACTTAGATATGGCTATCCTTGGCTAGGTGCTTGTTCGCCATCAAGCACCACGTCCTTCTTCTTAAGTGCCACTTCTCCTGTCCTTGGTCAAGGGACAAGGGCATGAACGAGGGGGTCATTGTCCACATGCACACAGTAGATGACAGAGTGAGCGTTGGAAATTGGCCTGGTGAGATTCCATCAGGTAGTGGTGAGCACTGTGCACACTGGAAATTGGTCTGTATTTGCTACTTAGAATCCTCCTTGCCACCCAACTGGAGGTTCCCAGTCTTCCCCCGCATCCCACCCCATGCCTTCATCCTGAGGCTTTTGTCCTATCAACCCAGGCAACCTGTACTTCCCTGGTTCTGATGTGGATGTACTGACTCTTCATCCAGGCTGACTACCTGCCACATGGCCCCTCTACCACCTTCATGCTAAACAAATTGGCTTATGCACAGTGCCCTCTTATCTGCCGGGGATACATTCTCAGACTTGGAATGCCTAAAACCATAGGTGTTACCAAGCTGCAAAATGCAATGTCTCCCATCTCTCTTCTGATAAACGTATATTCATGATTAAGATTAATAGAGAGACTTAGCACAGTTGGGGAGCGGTGTGCTGGACAGCAGCATGGCTCAGCTGATATATTTGCCTCCAAGCCTAGTGACCTAAGTTCGAGCCACAAGACCCACACCACAGAAAGAGAAAACGGACTCCCACAGGTTGTCCTCTGACTTCTGAAACACACACACAAAGTAAATAAATAAATTCATTTATTTATTAATGTAATTTTTAAAAGAAATCAGGTACACTAGTAGATGGACAACAGTCATAAAAACAGAACCGTTGCCATGATACGTTGTAACAAAAGTTGAAAGAGTCATGTTTCTTTCTTTCAAAGGATCAAAAAGAAATGCTAGTATTTTTGAGCCGAAGTTGATCCTGGGTCCCTGAAACTGCTGACAGTGAAGCTGTGGATG